TTCAGAGCAGTGACCATTGGTCTCCATCTGATGGGCAAACTTCTGATGATCTTCTAAACATGATCAGCAGTGGAGTAGCCTTTGTCCAACACTTTTAATCCAGCTGTGAGGATCTGGAATCTAGAGAACATGGCTTCTATAGATTCAGATTCTTCCATTTTAAAGGCTTCATATTTCTGGATCAGAGCCAGAGCCTTGGTCTCTTTAACTTGTGAGTTCCCTTCATGAGTCATCTTCAAGGACTCAACCAAATCAAAATGTTGTCTCTCTGTTGGTAATTTTCTCATACTCAGTATGAGATATAACATTTAATAAGATTGTTCTAGCTTTGTGATGATTTCTGAACTCCTTCTTCTGAGCTTCAGTCATAGATTTTCTATCAATTTTCTTGCCATCCCCATCAGTGGGGTGAACATAACCATCAATGACTAAGTCCTAAAGATCAGCATCATATCCAAGAAAGAAACTTTCAATCCTGTCTTTCCAGTAATCAAATTTCTCCCCATCAAACATAGGGGGTTTAGTGCTGATTATATCTCTGTCTTTATATCTGTTGTTGTTGGATGTTGAAGCTTCAGCCATAATGTATCACCCAAAATATATCAAGAGTTTTTTCAACTGGATCTTTTCTGTTCACGGTGAAGTGATAGCACACACAGAACCGGAGCTTTGATGCCAACTAAAGGTGAGAAAATACTTAGAAGGGGGGGGGGGGGGGTTGAATAAGGGTTTTCAAAATATTATGGCAATAAAAACACAAAGATTTTTATCCTGGTTCGTTGAACTCAACTACTCCAGTCCACCCTATCAAGAGTGATTTGCCTTTCTCCACAAGGACTTAATCCACTATAATCAAATGGATTACAATGTCAACCACTAAGAACAACTGTCTTAGTCTTCTCAAGAACTACTGACCACAACTTGGTCTTCTTAAGGAACTTTTACAATCAAATGTAAACTAAACAAGTGTTTAAAATGCTTCTAAGAAAGCTATATCACAACTGTGATTTATACACTTAAGATTAAGAACGTATGAAACTATTCAACAAAGAATAATAATTTGTATGAGAGCTTTGAGAGAGTTTTCAATGGATTCGTCAAAATACGTCAATGTTCGTCTAATTTCGTCAACTATAGAAAGTTGTTGAAGGCTTGCTTTTATAGACAAAGAAGTCCAAGACGTTGCAAGCTTGAAGACCGTGTACTGCAAAATAGTTGTAGCCTTTTGTCTTCACATGACTTGACCTTTCCTAGAAGTAGAACGTTAAGAGAAATCCTTTTTGCCTGAATTCTTATGTCTAGCATAAAAGAGGAAATAGATGTTTGGAATATGCCAATGGATATAACTTTGAATAATCTTCTTCAACAAGCTTCTATTTCACAGCAATCAACATCAGAGCCTTGAGTGATCAGAGTCTTGATGTTATCAGAGTTTGTTGTATCAGAGTGTTGCAGCAAGTGTACTTCAGCGTGAAATCAATCAGAGCAGTGTTTGGAAATCAGATCCTCAGTACTTGCAGTGAACATTACTATCAGAGTCTTCTGAAAAACAGTGCTTGAAACTCTTCATACAAAGTCTTCAGTTTACGCTTCAGATGCTTCTGTAGCTTCTGCTTCAAATTCTTCTGTAGGCATCGCTCAGAGTCTTCTAACTAGATGCTTCTGACGCTCAAAGCCTTGCGTAGTTCAATGTTCAGATTCAATTTTGCTTTTAGATGGATATTAACTTTAATATCTGCAAAAAAAAATACTTGAACAAATTTAGAGTATATAATTTCTTAATACAAAATTTTATTAGTGTTATCATCAAAACATAGAGATATAACTAAGAACCAATCTGTGTTCTAACAATATTTTCTTCCTAAAAAAATCAACATCAATTGGTTTCAATCACTATTTCTCTTCCACTCCAAACCACCATTGAAAATCTTCAACTGATTCTTCCTCTTACAAACCTCACCATTAACACACAATCCTAGATCTTTACCTTAGCACATTTTCCTTACCAAACAAACAATTACATAACACAAATGCTAACAAGAGGTTCTTGTATTGTACTACATATACTTAGGATGCTAACACCTTCCACAGGTATAACCAACCTCTGAACCTTAGATCTCTTAGCTTTGTTGTTACATAGCGCACTTAGGGTTTTCTTCGATCTTTACCCTTTTCTTTGGACAAATCAAAGCGCGGCGGCGAACTTCATGATTTGTGATTCACGTTAACTAATAGCTTGATATCTGATTCTCACCGCAACAAAAATCATCAAAACTGATTTGTGGGATTGTGTTTACGAATATCTTTTTGTAGGTTATAATTTAAAGGCGTTATCTACTTCGTTTCTTGTGCTCATACCGAAAAGGTCAAATCCTCAAGACCTTAACAATTTTAATCCATTTTGCCTTGTGGGAAGCGTGTATCATATTATTTCCAAATTGTTGGCAGGGAAACTGAAGAATGTCATTCGTAATCTTATATCTGATTTCCAATATGTTTTTTTCTCGAACTGTAACATGCTAGACTGAGCATTAGTGGTAAATGAGTTGGTAGATTTTGCTAGAAGAAACAAGAGACAATTATTCTTTTTCAAAGTTGACTTTGAAAAGGCTTATGATTCTATGTCATAGGATTGTTTGTTTTCATTTATGAAGAAAATGAATTTTGGAGATAGGTGGATCAAATGGATTTAATCATGTGTGTGTTCTAGGTCCTTCTTTGTTCATTATTGGTGCAGAAGGGCTTGTTGGGCTTATGAAAATTGTTGTTTCTCAATTATCATATCATCCTTTCTTAGTAGTTGAAAATCTGAATTTCGACATTCAACAATTCCCTGATGATATTATCATTTTTGGTCAAGCTGATTAGGAAATATTTGGACTTTAAAAGTGATTTTTCGTGGTTTCGAAATGGCATATTGTTTAATAATAAATTTCCACAAAAATTGGATTTTGGGTTTCAATGTGTGTGTATATATATATTTGGAGACGACTTCAGACTTTCTTTCATGTTTAATAGTTTATCTTCCATTCACATTTGTGGGAATTCCCATTGGTATTAATCCAAGAAGGCGCAACTCTTAGATTGCCACCATAGACAAAGTTCGTAGTCAGCTATTAAATTGGAAAAAGCAAGTTTATTTCTTATAGAAGTCATGTCATTCTACTTGATGCGGTTCTTAATTCCATCCCATTGTATTTATTTTTCTTTTACAAAGCCCCCCCCCCCCCCCCCCCCCCCCACAAGGTGGTGACTCGCGAACTAATCAAAATTTGGAGATCTTATATCTAGAAAGGAGAAGAAAATAATCAACACATTAATTGGGTTTCTTGGTCGGCATTGTGTAAATCGAAAGCGAAAAGTGGATTGGATATTAAACACGGTGAAACCTTCAATGTCGCTTTACTTAGTAAATGAGTTTGGAGAATTGTCAACCGGCAGAATTCCCAATGGTCTCAGCTCTTATCATTCAAGTATGGAGACATTAAAAGTCTCTTGCTCAATCCAACTAAACCCTTTGCAACAAGAAAAAACATCTATTTTGTGACGTGATATTCGAAACATTGTCACAACATTGCAAATGGAAGAATGTTGGTTTCAAAAAGAAATTTCGTTGTAAACATGATTCAAGATCAGAAACAAATTTGGTTGTCAAGAAACGATACACTATTGAACGAGGGTCAATACAAATTTACTGATATTGTAATTTTAGCCAAAAGACTTACTTAACATTAGTTAGGTGCCAAATGTTTGAGGCTTTTGGATATTGAGTGGGAGGAATGGTGTAGAAATTCAAATCTTTGTATGGGTTAATTTTTCCAAAGGTCTATCTTTTCCTCTCCGTTGTATTTGAGTTGAATATTGCTAGTACTCAATATTAATAAATTTTTCTTATAAAGAGAGTGGGAGAAATAATCCTCTTTGCTAAATAGGTTGAATCACACTTTAAATAAGTTATGTCACAAGCATTTGTCGAACTTATTTTCACGCTATGAATTTTTTTCTACAATTAATATATTAATGGAAATAACCATCTCTCACTTTCTTAGTAGAGTTGTCAAATTAGTTCGTCAATCCTCTCTAAAATGCATAATTATTCTAGATTTGTGCTTTACACTAAAAGATTAATAATTAAGAAGCTCAACTCAACTTAAGACATGGTTCCATCAGACAGGGTTAAAATTGACTGCTCGACTTCTTGATACTAACAAACAAATTGGAAATGATTCTGTTAACAACTCAACTACACAAACATGATTCCAATTGACATAAACCATCAAATCAAGTTTGTCTTTCCACTATGTAATCGCTAAAAGGAACATAATTTCCACACAACACATCATATTCAATAGATTATGTTTGAATATCATAATTGAACGGAGCAAAATGAAATGGAGCAGAATGAGACAGAATGGATTGGAGCGAAGCGGAACAAATGTCTCATTCTATTGTTTGAAAATTTTAGAGCGAAACAAGGTAAGTTTATCATTCCACCTAAATTGGAGTGGAAGAAATATGATGGTAAGTGATGAACTCAAATGAAATTCATACCACTCCATCGAATTTTAAAATATTTAAATAATAGACTATCATTACATTTCATCTTATTCCGCTCTGCTCCATTCAATTCCATAAATCCAAACAAAGGCATAGAATTTTTGGATGCTAAGATTTACTACATCAAAACAAGCCTTTCCCTTTCCACATAAGATGGACGTGCCACTACACTCTCCTTACAGAACATACTCAATAGAATTCCTGGATGCTAAGATTTACTAAGGGTCAAGGGGACCTTAGCATTTCAGTTAATCATCTCCCAAAATTTTAAGATGAGATGAACTAAAAAAACTTGACATATGAGCTTTGATGAAAACAACGATGCATCCATATCCCTACAAGACAATGATGGAAAATTGATATAAATATTTAACTAAACAAAACAATCATTACCTATTCCGAAAACATAATTAAATTAGGCATATAGAGTTTAACCCATTTCCTTAGATGTCAAGAACATCGACGAATTTTCCTCCCATCAAACTCCCAAAAGAATCGCCACGAACAGCAGCAGATTCTAACATCTTCTCAGTCTGATTGAAACAATATACAGGAGCCTGCCAATTCGACTCCTCAAGCACTGCTCCAACCTCATATGTCATCACATGAGCCGTATATCCTGCATTAAAATTACCATTATATCCAACTTTACTATATTTCACAGCAACACATTCTAAACGAGACAGTTGTGATACTGATTTTGTATTTATTTATGCAAACCTGATTTCATAATTAGAGTGAGAGTAAAAAGAGAGAACCGAACCTGAGGAGAAGATCCACTTAACAGGTTTTCGAGTTACAGCATCTTCGTAATACACAATGAAATCGACTTTCTCCCAAACATTACAGACGAAATTATCAATTTTTTCTTGACCTAAATAGGTAGCACCGTCGAGCCAATTACGGCGGAGAATACCGACGCCAGGGTAGAGGATCTTGCAGTGGCGATCGGACGGATGGAGAGTGTAGACGAAAGAGGTACCGTTGGTCCATTCCAGATCGTAAACGGCGACTTCGTTGAGTTGATCCTGGATGATGTTGAAGTTTCGACCGTTAGGCCAGTCGTACCATAGGTCTATTTTCTGGAGGCTTCCGCTCTTGTTCATAAACAGAACGGAATGGAACTGCTCCGGCCAAATAGGCGGAAGCGGCTCCGCCGTGGAACTTGAAGCGGAAGAGAGAACGATGGAGAGTAATACTGTATATAAGTGGTTTATTGCAGAGGCCATTGCTGCTTACAACCCAACTTCAAGCAATAAGATAAGAATACTGTGAATTCGTGAATGTTAGGTTCAAATTTCGTTTCGAGGAATCTCTCTCAAGATTTGTCCACACTATATGAAAAGGTGTACACGTCTCGGGAACTGAGACACGTTTTTTTTAGCCCCACTGGCTTTACCACGTTGTTATTTTATGCAACAACCATCGTGATGTCAAACCTGCACAAAGTAGTACTCTATATATTTTAAAATGACTTTTGTTTTGGACGAAAATTTTTATTTTATAATGAATTTCATTTTTACTTTTTAATATAATAATAATAATTATTATTTTTTCAATTATTTTATATAATTAATTATTATACAGTATATTATTTTTAATATTTAATATTGTATTATTTAATCTTTGTACAAAAACCTTAAACGATAATCATTTTGAAACGGGAGAATAATGCAATAATGTTGTCATAAGATATTGCACTTTTACTATATTAGTCTTATTAATGTTTGAAAATAGTATACAGAGTAATAATTATATGACACGATTTAAAAAATAACAATTATTACTACATTGAAAAGTGAGTGACATTTGTGAGATGTTGGATCGAACTCTAGTATGGTCGAAGTCTGTTCGCGAGTAATGCATTTTGTAGTCGAAGTCTGTTCTAACATGCATTAGTCAATATTACTAGGGTTGTTAGCATGTTGAATTGGGCCTTACTTGTAAGCCCAATTGTTTAAGTTAGCTTGTAATGGGTAATTGTTAAAAAGCTCATTAGGTTAGTGTGCTATTTTATTATAAATAGGATGTTAGTTTCTCAATCTTGGCATAAGGAAAAATAGGAAGATAAAATCCTAATTTCAAGAGAGAGAGGTTATTTTGTTATTCTTGTATACTTGTAATCTTGTTCTAAGAGAAAGGAAACAATAGTAGTTTAATAACCAATCCTTGTTGTTTTCTTCTTTATTAACCCTAACCCTTGTGTGTTTCCTGCTAAGAAACCGTTTATACTTTGTTTAAAGGTATCTGATTCACAACAAATTGGTGCGGTGAGAGTGGAGAAGATGCCTTCAACAAAGTATGAGATTGAAAAGTTCACCGAAGTGAACGACTTCGGTCTGTGGCGCTTGAAGATGAAAACCCTATTGGTTCAGCAGGGTTATTTGGAAGCGTTGAAAGGTGAGACAGCCATGGGCGCTGCGTTAACGGCAAAAGAAAAGACGGGCATGATCGAGAAAGCCCACATCGCAATATTGTTGAGCCTTGGTGATAAGGTTCTTCGACAGGTATCAAAGGAGACTACAACATCGGGATTATGGGTGAAACTTGAAAGTTTGTACATGACCAAATCTCTGGTGAATCGACTCTACTTGAAGCAAGCTTTATATTCATTCAAGATGAGTGAAGACAAAGTGTTGGCTGAGCAGTTAGATATGTTCAACAAGTTGATTCTTGATCTTGAAAATATTGATGTGAAGATCGACGATGAAGATCAAGCACTGTTGTTGTTGTGTGCTTTGCCCAGATCACATGCTCACTTCAAAGAAACTCTCTTGTATGGAAGGGAGCCCCTGACCTTTGAAGAAGTTCAATCAGCTTTGTACTCTAAGGACTTGAACGAACGAAAGAAGTATAAACCTTCGACGGTGGGCGAAGGTTTGGCCGTTAAGGGAAAATTCTTCCGAAAGGATGGTAAGTTCGACAAGAAGAAAGGTAAAAGTCAACAGAAGTCTTATAGTGGCAAAACATCTAGTATTTGATGTTATCACTGTAAGAAGGAGGGTCACATAAGAAAGGTGTGCCCTGAACGCCTGAAAGATCATGGAGGTAATGGCAATGCAGCCATTGTTCAAGATGACTTCGACTCATCTGATGTTCTTGTGGTTTCAAGTGGCGACTCGAGGAAAGAGTGGATTATAGATTCAGGTTGCACTTAGCACATGACTCCAAACAGAGAATTGTTCGAGGAGCTATGTGATCAAGATGATGGATTTGTGCTGCTGAGAAACAACAAATCTTGCAAAATTGCAGGTATTGGATCTATGAGATTCAAGCTCCATGATGAGTCAATAAGGTTATTGACTGAAGTCAAGTACGTACCTGACTTGAAGAGAAATTTGATTTCTCTTGGTGAATTCGACAGAAAAGGATACGTTTTTCAAGGAGAGAAAAGTATCCTAAGAGTCATGAAGGGGTCGAAGGAAGTCTTGAGAGGCGTGAAGAAACAAGGCTTGTATACCCTTGAGGCTGAGGTTGTAAGTGGTTCGACAAATGTTGCATCCACGAAACTTATGTCGAAGACAGAATTATGGCACATGAGATTGGGCCATGTCAACGAAAGAGGCCTGGTCGAATTGGGGAAGCAGAACTTGCTAGGAGGTGACAAAGTCGAAAAGTTGGAATTTTGTGAATCTTATGTATTTGGTAAATCTTGTAGGGCGAAGTTTAACAAAGGCAAGCAAATAACACATGGATCCCTGGATTACATTCATGTTGATCTTTGGGGGCCTGCAAGGATTCCTTCATACTCAGGTGCAAGGTATTTTCTATCCATCGTTGATGATTATTCCAGAAAGCTATGGGTACTCATTCAGAAGACGAAGGATGAAACTTTTGAGAATTTCAAAAGTTGGAAGATTCTGGTCGAAACTCAAACTGGCAGAAAGCTTAAGAGGTTGAGAACCGACAATGGCCTTGAATTTTGCAACGAAGCGTTCAACAGTTACTGTGTTGAGTCTGGGATTGCAAGGCATAAGACTATAGCGGGTACTCCTCAACAAAATGGCTTAGCTGAGAGATTCAATCGAACAATCCTTGAAAGGGTTAGATGCATGTTGGTTAGTGCTGGATTGAAGAAGGTGTTTTGGGCGGAAGCTGTTTCGACAGCAGCTTACCTGATAAATAGATGTCCCTCGACTGCCTTGAGAATGAAGACACCTGAAGAAGTTTGGTCGGGATATCCACCTAGTCTCGACAGACTGAGAGTATTTGGCTGTGTGGCCTATGCTCATATTAGGCAAGACAAGGTCAAACCTAGAGCTCTGAAGTGCATGTTCATGGGATACCCTGAAGGAGTCAAAGTTTATAGGCTATGGTGCTTAGAGCCAGGTCACAGGAGGTGTATCACCAGTCGAGATGTAGTTTTCCATGAAGCAGAGATGGCTTTCAAGAAAACTGATGATGCTGACGAAGAGCTGGAACAGGGAGAGATTCCTGTTGAGGTAGAGCATGTTGATGTTGAATTGCTTACTCCAGATAAAGTCGAAGAAGACGCATAAGATGTTGTCGAAGATGAGGAGATTGATAATGACTACCTGCTAGCAAGAGACAGGTCGAGGAGAGTCATCAAGCCACCTCAGAGACTTGGGTATGCAGATCTTATAGCTTATGCCTTAATATCTGCTAGTGAGGTTCTAGACGAAGAACCTAGAGACTATAAGGAAGTTATGAGGAGTCGAAAAAAGAGTGAATGGCTGAAGGCCATGGATGATGAGATGAAATCTCTTCATGATAAAAACACCTGGGAACTGATCAAGAAACCTGTTGGAGCCAGGTTAGTCAGCTGTAAATGGATTTTCAAAGTTAAGGAAGGAATCGAAGGAGTGACGTCGAAGAGATACAAGGCAATATTGGTTGCTAGGGGGTTCACTCAGAAAGAAGGTATCGACTTTAATGATGTGTTCTCTCCTGTTGTGAAGCACATGTCCATTCAAATGTTGTTTGCCATGGTGGCCCAGTTCGACCTTGGACTAGAACAGATGGATGTGAAGATTGCATTATTGTATGGTGATCTAGATGAAACAATCCTGATGAGGCAACCTGAAGGGTATGTCGAAAGGGGAAGGAAGATTATGTGTGCAAACTGAATAGATCGTTATATGGACTGAAACAATCTCCTCGACAGTGGAATAGGAGATTCGACAAGTTCATGGCACACATAAGTTTCATCAGAAGTCAGTTTGACCACTGTGTTTACTTCAGATTTCGACCGGGTAATTCATTTGTTATTTTGTTGCTCTATGTGGATGATATTCTAATAGCAAGCAACAATGTCGAAGAGGTAATGAGGGCGAAGGCTGAACTCAATAAAGAGTTCGACATGAAGGATCTGCAAGCTGCGTCCAGGATTCTTGGGATTGACATCCGAAGAGATAGAAAGCAGTCAAAATTATGCTTATCTCAAGAGGCATACCTACAGAAGGTTCTCGAAAAGTTTGGTATGTCGAATTCAAAGCCTGTTGTGACGCCGGCAAACCCTTAATTCAAGTTGAGTATAGATCAGTGTCCCAGCACTGATGTTGAAAGAACTTATATGAATAACATTCCATATGCTAACATAGTAGGTTCTTTGATGTATGCTATGGTCTGTACTAGACTCGACATAGCATATGCAGTAAGTCTTGTAAGCAGGTACATGGCGAATCCTGGAAAGGCTTACTGGCAAGCATTGAAGTGGATTTTAAGGTACATAAATGGGTCTGTAAATAGAGTCTAAATTTCTGGTGGAGCCTTGAGTGAAGATAGTAAAGCATCAATCGAAGGATATGTCGACTCTGATTATGCAGGTTGTATGGATTCTAGAAAATCTATCTCTGGATATGTATTCACTATGTTTGGGACAACAATCAGTTGGAAAGCAACACTTCAGAAGGTCGTTGCCTTATCAACCACTGAAGCGGAGTATATTGCCCTAACTGAAGCTGTGAAGGAAGCATTGTGGCTTGAAGGTTTTGCAAAGGAGCTAAAACTTCAAGGTCGAGTTATCATTGTTAAATGTGATAGTCAAAGTGCAATACACCTGTCGAAGAATTCAGCCTATCATGAGCGAACCAAACACATTGATGTGAGGCTGCATTTCATCAGAGGGGTAATCAAGCGTGGAGAAGTCCAAGTGCTGAAGGTTTCGACAGATCATAATGTTGTTGATATGATCACCAAGATGTTGCCCAGTTACAAGTTTTTCCACTGTATGCAGTTAATAAAGCTGCATGAAGAAAGCTAGTTTCTT